CGTGCTCATCGAGGTCAATTCGAGCCGGGCAGGCTTCTGCGCTTCACCGTGCCTCCGGCCTGGACCGTGGACCGGAGCATCGTCGTCGACCAACGAGGCGCCACCGACACCCCATGAGGCGCGACGGTGCTCGTTGTGGGGGAGGAAGTGGCGCAGTCCCTGCCCGGGCCGTGCTCGACTATAAGGCGGAAGAAGTCGCCTCGCCTGCTTCCTCCTTGATATCCACTAGCGCGGCGCACGCTCCTTGGGGAGGGCGCAGGTGGAGGAGTCGTGGTTCGACAGGCCCACCGGACGGGACTCGAACCTAGATGCCGACTCAAAGGCAACACGCGAGGTATCTTATTGCTTCACGTTCTAGAGTGCCACTGCCCAAGAATACCTGAGGAATTTGTTCAAATGGCCTCGCACGCGTCGTGACGCGACGGAGGCAAAGCCACACCTCAAACGCGCCAAGGCCCCGAGTTAGCACACGCGCTGAGTTTCCTGCCCGGATTCATAACTGAACTTGCCCGTTTCGCCCGGACACTCTCGCCGCGTCCCTACCATCGTGTGCCGCGGCACCCCGCACGACGGGGCCGTTGCACTGGAACGAGGGGGTTTGAGGCGCTGGTCGAACGGCCACTCCCGTTGCCGCTCGAGGCCGAGGCGCGGTTTGCGGTGGTGATTCATGCGCTGCCCGACTCTGTGGCCGCGCGCCGGTCGCAGCGGCAGTTCTGGCCCTGGGGAAGGGCCAATGCAAAGGATCACCTGCGACGCCCCCTAACTCGCGAATCGGCTAGGTCCGCGCGTCTGAGCGGTCGCCCGCACCCCGCCGCCCTGGGCGAAACTCGGGCCGCCCAAAGGGGCGGAAGGAGTAAAGGCCGAAAAGGCCCCAATCCGGCCCCTGGCCAAGACTCCGCCGTCCGACTGCTGAGACGGGTAGGCCGAAAAGGCGTCCCACAATCCCCCCGCGAAAGACCTCCCTGAGACAGACACGGACGGCGGGTGTCCGAGGCCAGTCCCAAAAGGAAATGATTTTGGACAAGGAGGAAACATGACCACGACGACACCCGTTGACCTTGACCATGTACTCGCTGTCGCCGACGAGCTTCGGCGGATTTGCGGTAGCGCGCTCAAGATGACCGCCACCAAGACCACCGCCAAGCAAGAGAGCATCGAGGCCGCGCTCGCCCACGTGCTGGACGTGAACGCGGGACGGCAGCCCAGCATCCGGAGCGACGGCCCGTTCTACCGCCTTCTCGCCCGCTGTCCGCCTGCCGTGTGGCGTTGGGAGCACCTAGAACCCCGCCATGCTGTCCGGTCTCGTCGACGGACGGGGGAAGGCGCTGATGGAACCGCAGGACGTAGACGCCATCGCCGCCCGGACACAGGCCCGAGAACTGGCATGGGAGCGAACCGAGGGCGGGGATGCCTTCGCGGTCGACGTCGACGGCGTCCGCTACATCCTCGCGGAGGACGGCGCGACGCTCTTCATCGTGCGCCCGCACCTGGGCGGCATCAGCCGTTGCGAAGAGTCGTGGGTGCGGTCGGTCCTCGCTGGCCCGGTCAGTCGCGTCGTCACGCCCTACGTCCCGCAGGACCCGCCCAAGAGGGTGAAGCGGGCGAGGCGCAGGACGGCACGGAGGAAGGGTGGGAAAGCGACGCCGCCCGTCGTCGAGGAAGAGGCGCCGCCGTCCAGTGTCGGCACTGGTCAGATGGAAATGTTCCCAGAGCGCGTACGCCGGGGCGATCCCGCGTGACCTGTCTGCCCGCCCGTATATGCGCCCCAGGAGGCGCGATGCAGACGATTCTCGACCGCCGTTGTCGGCGGTGTGGCACGGGAAAGCTGTACCTCGACGAGGACGTTGTTACCGGCGTTGTGGACGCGGTCTGCGCGACGTGCGGCGACCGCACAAGCGTCGTGGTCGTCCGGGAAGTGGTGCACGTCGGCGGTGACGGCGACCAGGGCGGCAAATGTCGCAACTGTGAGCGGCGTCGCCTCCGTGCTGTCCGCGACGCCTTCCAGACACCCGAGGCCGAAGCGAAGGCGCAGCAGCGCGGGGAGCGGATTGCGGCGTGGTGGGTGAACAACCCCGAAGAGGCGGAAGCCCGCCGGGAACGCCTCCGCGCCATGCCGCGCGGGGCTGACGGTCGTGTGCTGCCCGGCGGCGCACGGGCGTAAGCGTGGTGGTGGTGGTGGTGGTGGTGCGACGATGAATCCCCCATATTATATAGACAGAGAGAAGTAAGTTTAGGGACAACGACGCCGACCCTAGGTGCACGGTTGCTCGTTACTCGTGCCCCTTGGCTGCCGCCCCCGGTCTCCGTTACACTGCCTCCATGAGCAACACGCAGCACACGCGCACTTGCGACTGGTGCGGGGAACCATTCATTGCCCACGTCGCGGGCAGGACCTCCGGCTTCTGCCGACCGGCCCATCGCGTCGCGGCCCATCGTGCGCATCATCGCGCGCGATTCCCGACGCGCCGGAGTTGGAGACCCCAACACCCGAGGCATTGGCGGTCGAGGACTTGCGGAACCGTGCCCAGTCCGACCCGGAACTTCGGGCGTGGCTTCGGGCACGAGGACGGGCGTGACCATGACCGTACCCGCCGACACGACCCACAAAATGCAAAGATGGAGGCGGGAATCGTCGAGCCACGTAGGGGAAGAGCCTCACGCGCTGCCGACCGTGCGCGAGCGCACACAACCGCGCGGCATGGGAGGACCGCCGCGAGAAGCTGAAGCATCTCCGTGGCCCCTTCTCGCCGCTCTCCGCACCGGCCAAGCGTCAGCTCCCCCGACGCTAGGCCCTCGCGCGCGCGCGGAAAGCGGCCCGCTTCCAAGCCGACCCGACCCCTAGCCCATCCGCGCCGTCGAAAACGCCCGTACGGGCCTCCTGTGAGCCGTGTTATGGTCAAGTGGCGCGCCCGCCATAGCTGAGAGGCCGCGCCGAGGCCCTCCACTCGAGATCTCGGCGTCGGCGGTCGCATCGTGGTACAGTGGGCACGGGCACGACCTTGGGGGCCGTCGGCTGCTAAAACCCTCTCCCACGCCGCCCAGGGCAGCCGTGGCGCGCCTTTCTCCCTCGCAGCCGCCCCTGAGTCCGCCCGACGGTGTCCGTGGGGCGATTTGCGCGGTGGTGACGAGATTCTGTTGGACGAAGGGGGGCAGCATGGCCTACGACCCCGCAAGCCTCGAAGGTATTCGACTGACGTATCTCCAAGAGAACCGCCCGGCGTCCTACCGCGATCTGGTCAAGCGCGGCATCCTTGACGAGCATCTCGTCAACATGGCCGATTTCGCCCGCAAGCGCAAAGCCGCCTACATGAACGAGGGCGCACCCGACGAACAAACGGCATGGAACTGGGCCATCCGCACGGTGCTGCTGGACAGCCAGCCTGATTAGGACGGACGGAGGGACACGATGGCGGACGAGGGATTGATCGTGGTGGACCGCTTCAAGGTGATGGTGCAGGCGTACCGGCCCGTGCACCCCCGCAAGCTGCGATTGGCCGGCGTGCACGTTGTGGTCGCGGGTGTGGGCGGCGTTCTGCACCATCGAGGCCGACTACACCCCGGCCCTGCAACCATTGCCAAAGAGTGACCCGGGTGTGGTCGGGGAGCACTTGCGGAAGCATCAATGCCGATCCGTCGCCGTCCTCACCGCCCTGGTCGCCGCCGTACGTTAGTCCTCCACCCAACGCGGCCTAGACCGGCTAGACCGGCACCACGCCCGCAGCGATCCCACCGCGCAACCGCGACTAAGGCTGCCGACCTACCCAGCCAGTCGACCGACAAAATCGAACACAAACTGACCCCGCCTACGTCCTTGAACGGTGCGCCCTACCTGGCTGTACGTCACCGCCTCGCTTCGCACGCCGGGATGCCCGTTACTGCTGTCCGGCTCATCGGCTCCGCCACTGGCGTATGAAGAAACGCGCCAAGGACGCCGCCACCCAGCGCACCATGACGAAGCCGCCCATCGAGCAGCTCCACGCCCCCACCCCGCAGACGCTCGACCCCGCCGATGTCCCGGAGCCGGAGGAACCGGAAGGCTCTGACGCCGAGTATCAGCAGGTTCTCGCCACGGCGCGGGAGATCATCCACCTGGAGGAGCTGCTCATCAACGACCCCCGCGACGAGGACGCCCGGCTCCGGCTGCGGCAGCTGCGTCGCGGCTAGGCCGCTGGGGGTCGCCTCGCGCGCGAGAGCGGCCCGTTTCCAACCCGACTTGACCCCTTGCCCATCCGCACCGCCAACAGCCGCGCTACGAGCATCCTGTGAGCCGGTTTATCGTCAAGTAGCGTGGTCGCCGTAGCTGAGGTGGGCCTTTTGACCTCCGGAGCGATGCCCGCGGAGGTGATTCATGCTGTGCACCACGCGTGCCTTGGCTCTGGGGGTTCTTCTGCTCGCGGCCCGCGTCGGCGGTGGTGGCCACTTCAGCCGCCAGCGTCGAGGGCCTGTGCTCGCGCAGGTGTGGCTCCAGGTGTGGGAGTCCTCGAAGCGGGGCGACGGGCGCTGTTTTGCCCTCTCCCCGCCACCAGCACCAGCACCGACAGGCCGAGAATCAGTTCCTTTTCGGACTGGCCTCGGACGCCCGCCGTCCGTGTCTGTCTCAGGGCGGTCTTTCGCGGGGGGATTGTGGGACGCCTTTTCGGCCTACCCGTCTCATATAAAGGGCGGACCTCTCGTTCGCGGACGTCGCTAAGAGCCAAGTCCTTTAGGCGGTCCACGTTTGGCGCTCCGTGCTCCTCTAAGTGGCCACTGCTTTACCTATCTCTGATTGGGACATCTCTGCTCCTCTTTCTGATGTACCCCACCTCATCCAAGGAGCTAGCCCTATCTCAAACCTCTCCGGTTCTCTTCCTCCGCTTGTTTATCATTGTCGCTTATTGCTGACGGCCTCCTCTAGCCACAGTAAATCAGGCCCGGAAAAGGGATTGACCCCTTTCCGGGCCCTCAATTTACGATCCGTCTGATAACTGCTTCGAACCCATATCCAAAGGCGGAACTTCTATCTATGGAATCCAGGATCTCCAGACTGACTCGTTGGCGTCAACCCACTCCTGCGCGGCCTGGCGTACGGTCAGGTCGTTCTCGGTGAGGTTGAGGACGATCTCGTTCTGCTGTGCGTTGGTCATCTGGAAGTTGGAAAGGAACTCGTATGCCTCTGGGAACTCGTCCTGAAGACCCGGCCAAATCAGCTTCGCTACGCCGTCGGTTGGGAAGCCGCAGTTGAAACTGTCACCATCGGGATAGCAGTCCGAAGTCCACGCGGGCATGTCGATCTGCACCAGGTTGTACTTGGCATGTGCCCAGTGGGGTTCCCATAGGTATGTGAGGATGGGATCACCCCTTTGGAAGGCGGCGTCGAGTTCAGCCAGAGCCGCGCCTTCGGACCCGGCGAACACAGCCTGGAAGTCGGCGCCGAAGGCCTCAAGTCGTTCCTCGGGCCTTGTGTCCCACGCAGCAGTGAACTCCAGGAGTCTGCCACTAGTGCCGGTATCGCTCGTGGCGAAAACGTCCTTGTACTGGTTCAGGTCGCTAACCGTGCGGAGGTTGGGCGCCACTGCTTCGATGCCGCGGTCGGCGTCGCCATTGATGACGTAGGAAGGAACATACCAGCCGGTCTCACCCACTATGCCCACCGTCCCCATGCGCTCCACTTCGGCGTCTTCAGCGTTCACGTATTCATCCAGGAGCTCGGCGCTGTAGGAAGGCCAGTTGCAGCAGACGAAATGGAAATCGCCCCGTTCGAGGCCTATGAAGAGGGGCGCCGAGTCGGCGGGCGCGAACTTGGTCGCGACAGTGTGGTCCATCTCCTGCTCCAGCAGGATCTGCGCAACAGCCGTCGTGGCAAGCTGGCCGTTCCAGTCCTGGTCGACGAGATACAGGGTGCCCCTGGTCTCCGGATCAGCGACTTCGTCGGCTTCTTGTCACAGGCCAATCCTACTGCGAGACCATGGCCATCACCACAATCATAGAAAGACCAATCCACCTATTCTTCACTGTTTTCATTTTCTTTCTCCTTTCAGGGTCAGGAGTGTATTAGACATCCTGTCAGATTGCAACATGCCATATCGTCCCATAGGCATCCCTCCTTGTGCGGGTTCGCGGGCCGTGTGCCGGATTCTCGCTACCTCAGTGCCGCAAGAGGCATTCGCAGCGCCTGTTTGCCCCTGGTCATGCGGTCAAGCACCATCGCCATGAAGACGATGGTCATCCCGGCAATCAGGCCATCGCCCATCCTTAGCCAGATGGAATTTATGAAGACTTCCTGTCCCAGGCCCCCACCGCCCACAAGCCCGGCGATGATCACCATGGCGAACACCATGATGATGGTCTGGTTGACACCCATCATTATCGTCGGGAATGCTAGGGGTATCTTGACCTGAAGCATGGTCTGAAGGCCGGTCGAGCCATGGGCCTGGGCCGTCTCGATCACCTGTGCCGGCACTTCCTTGATGCCGAGGGCTGGTCATGCGGATCACCGGAGGCAGCGCATACACCGCCGTGGCTATGATGCCGACCAGGGCCCGATACCCCAGAGCATTATGACCGGAATCAGGTAAACGAAGATCGGCATGGTCTGCATGGTGTCCAGGAAGGGCCGCAGGACCGACTCGAAGGCCCTGCTCTGGGAGGCGACACGCCCATCCCAATACCCACCACACCGTGAACAGTCCCGCGGTCAGCACCTGGCTCAGGGTGTCCATGGTCACGTCCCAAACTCCGCCGATGCCTGCGAAGGCCAGACCTGCCACCGCGAGAAGCGCCACCGCCATCCAGCAGTGAAGTAGGCCAGCCCGGCCGCGATGACCATCAACGCCGGCCAGGGGAGCCAGAGGAGCAGCGTGTAATGGGTGAGTACCCAAGTTCCCGGAACAGGCTGTCCCGTACCCAACTTGTGATGAAGTGGAGGTTGACGGCCATCCAGTCGAAGACCCGGTTGACGGGGTCCGCCATCGAGAAGGTCAGGTCGTCCGGGAAGTCTCTCAGGGGACCGACCAGGAGCCAGGACAGCAGGACGGCTATCAGACCCACGCCCGAAATGGGAAGAGCGTAGCGGGCAGCCATGTTCTGAAGGCTCGGCCGGCCGTCTCCTCGTGCGCGCGGACTGATGGCCTGGACGGATGCATAGCTGAGTTGGGACCGGAATTCGCGAGGGCGTAGCTGAGCCTGTCCAGGATGATGGCCAGGAGCACGATGGCGATGCCGCTCTCCAGTCCCTTCCCCGCGTCCACCTCCCTCAACGAGAGCCATACGTCCCTGCCGAGCCCGTCCACTCCCACCAGGGCAGTTATTATCACCATGGCAACTGCCATCATAATGGTCTGGTTGATGCCCATCATGATCGAGCTCTTTGCCAGTGGCAGCTGCACCTGAAACAGCGTCTGAGACGTCGTCGATCCGTGCGAGTGGGCCGTCTCCATAGCGGCCTGGGGGACCTGGCGGATCCCCAAGTTGGTGAGCCTTATGACGGGGGGGATGCAGTAGACCACCGTAAGGAAGACGCCCTGGGTGCCGCTCACTCCGAATAGGACCAGGGCTGGGATGAGTATACGAAGGCAGGCAGGACCTGCATGGTGTCGAGAATCGGGCGGACGACTGCCTCGAAAGCGATTGCTGAAGGCAGCGAATATGCCGATCGGCACACCAATTCCTACGGCGATAATCACTGAAACTCCCACTACGCTCATAGTGAGCATCGCGGAGTCCCAGTACCCGTTGAAGCCGATGAACAGGGTAGCAGCGCCGCAGAACAGCCCCAGCCACCTGCCGCCGAGCCTGACCCCAACATCGATCGCCACCGCCACGACAACGGTCCAGGGGAGCCAAGGAGGAACGTGTCTAACCCGGCGAGGCCCGCGTCTATCACTTCGGAGATTGGATTGAAGAACCAGGCGAGGGTGTCGCCGAACCACTCAAAGGAGTCGTCAATCGGCTCCTGGATGGGAGGCTCCCAGCTCCGCGGCCAGTCTCCGAAAGTCGGTGCTGCATTGGTGGTCGCCAGTGAATAGGCCAGGATGTACGCGGCGACGGCAAGGCGCCCCACAGAATGGCCTGGTACCGGCGCTCCCGGACAGGGCGAATCTGGAGAGTCTCCGCGCGGATCACGTCGCTACTCCATCGTCGCCTACGAGGGCGGCCATTACCGCCTCACGGCTGATGGTGCCGATGCACCGGCCGTCGTCCAGGACAGCGATGGGGGCGTCGCCGTCGATGGCGAGGGGAATCAGCCGTTCGAGGCGGGTATCCGGCTCCACGATGGCGCAGGAGTCCCACATGACGGAGGCGACGCTGGAGTGCGCCACCCCGCTAGCCGGCACATCCGCCAAATGCACCGTCCCGATGAAGCGATCCTGCCCGTCTACCACCACCGCGCTGTCGCATTCCTGGGCCGCCAGCCTGGTCATCAGGTCGGCTAGCCTTCGTCTGCGGTGGCGTACGACTCGTGGCGGGGTCATGACAGAACGTGCGTGAGCACCTTGGATCTGGGCACGTCCCGGGTGAAGTCCCGCACGTAGTCGTTGATCGGGTTGGAGACCAGCTCCTCCGGCGTGCCTGTCTGAACGAACTCGCCGTCCTTCATAATGGCCACCCGTCCCCGACCTTGAGGGCCTCGAGGAAGTCGTGGGTTATGAATACCATGGTCTTCTGGACCAGCTGCTGGAGCCCAATCAACTGGTCCTGCATGTCTCGCCGGATGAGGGGATCGAGAGCGCTGAACGGCTCATCGAAGAGAAGAATCTCCGGGTCGACTGCAAGGGCGCGGGCCAGCCCAACACGCTGCTGCATTCCGCCGCTCAGCTCGTGCGGGTACCGTTCCTCCCATCCCGTGAGCCCCACCATCTCAATGACTTCGGCGGCGCGGTTGAGTTGGGTGGCCTTGTCAACGCCCTGAATCTGGAGACCGTACACCACGTTGTCCAGACCCGCTTGTGGGGAAAGTTGCCGAAGTGCTGGAAGACCATGCCCATCTTGTGGCGGCGAATGTCCCGCAACTGCTGCTTGTTCATCGCGAGCAAATCCTCGCCGTCTATGAGGACCTCGCCGCGAGTCGGTTCGATGAGACGACTGAGACAGCGGACGAGTGTCGACTTGCCGCTGCCGGAGAGGCCCATGATGACGAAGGTCTCCCCTTCCCGTACATGGAAGGAGACGTCCCTGACGGCGAGCACGCAGCCCGTCTGGGCCAAGACCTCCTCCCTGGAAAGGGCAGGGTCGATGGAGTCCGCAAGATCCCGGGCTCCGTCCCCAAACACCTTCCAGAGGTTTCGGCACGCGAGTGTCAAGCCGGGTCTACTCTGGATAGACTGGCCGATTCTGATGCATTGGCTGAGCCGGATTCCCCAGTATGTTCTTGATATCCTTTCCAGCCTGCTACGTTAGTCCGACGGGGCTGGGAGCAGGGTTGGCGGGCAAGAAGGCCACTGGCGCCGGGGTCGGTTATCCCAGAGTGATCAGTGAGGCCAGATGAGCTTGTAGGTCTGCCTGTGCTGCTCTGTCAGCGTCCTCACTTCAAGCAGCGTGTAGAAAATCTCGCTGTAGCAACTAGTCCCTCAGCTTTCTGTCGCCAAGTCCTCTCCGCCCTCTTGCGGTCCACGCTCCGGCCGCTGCCACGCTGCCAAAGGAGAGGATCGGTTGGCGTGGGCCTGCGCAGGAGCGGGAACCAGGTGTGCAATCGCCTTGCCGTGTCTGGCTATGACTACTGTCTCTCCATGCTCGACCGCTCGGAGGAGTTCGGCCAAACGGATCTTGGCCTCCGTAGCTTGGATCTGACGCATGTCGGTTCCAACCCGTTGCGTTGATCGCGCCACTTTATCTATTGTTCCCTGCCCAGGTCAACAACGGATGTCGGAACGCCCCCTTTGAACCAAGGAGCGGCTTGGATTGGATGATGTGGCTCCTCGCCGCCTATAGCGTGGTAGGCGGCAGGGAACTTGCAGAGCCAGACACATCTCAAAGATGGTACTGTCTATCGTCAAATCAGGCTAACCGCACTGGACTCCAACCAATCACAGGGCGGTTGGCAACACAACTGGGCCCGCCTTGTCTCTGGTCGAATCCGCCTCCAAGCAGCCCACGCTGCTCCAGTATTCCATTGCTATAGCCCCGTCCCCAAGAGATTCGGATATTTCAGCTATCTCTCTACAACATAAGCCGCCCTCATTTTGCCGGCCTGCATTGCCTGGGCGCTGCGTCTCATGCCATGCATTCGATACACCTCTGCGTCCTGAGTAACGGTTACGGGCCCTTAGAGGGCGGTGCGCTAGCACACCTGCCTATGAGGCATTACGTAGAGATTCGTGCCCGACCACACTGGCTCTGTCAGGGCAGTCCCATGGAGTGCAGTCAGCTGCCTTCAGTCGCGAGCGTCCGCAGACCACGAGACCAAAGTAAATTAGAGCAGACTAAGGCTCAGAGCCGCAAACCACATTCAATATCTGCCCCCGAACTCAGAATATCGCGGGCCGACCATAATCCCGCTCCCGGCGCCCAAGGCCGGCTGCGTCGCGTCTTCATGATGTTGCTTCGACACGCAGTCGCCGAGGGTTTACCTGTCGGCGATGAGGATTGCTCGCTGCAGGATCCTGAAGAGGCTTAGGCTGATGCAATCGACACGTACCATCAATGCGATGAGCCGTCAAAGTGATGGAGACCAATGCCCGCTGAGACACGTCTCCAAGGAGTCCTGTCGATCCCTTCGCCCCCTCCTACCAACACCTACGACTCGGCGAGTGGTATGCGGACGGGGGTACATCCGGCACGGGGGTAGCGAACGACTGGGAAAGTGCTGCAGCCCATGAGTCAACGGACAGACGGCCTTTGACCTAGACCCTGGGTCAGGATATTATCTTGCTACAAGTTGGCCCGGCGGTGCTACTAACACCCCGGGCCGTGGCGCCACCTGGCTCAACAGGCGATGCGGATGGATTGTACTACTCGCAGACCCGCTCCCGGAAGGCAGCGGGTCTTTTTTTGTTGCCAGACCATGGATACGAAGGGAGTGACCATGCCAAGGACTACGTCTTCACGACAGCACACGGAAGGTCGCCAGGCGGCCATATACGCCAGGGTGTCGGACAAGAGTCAGGCCGAGGACGACAAGACATCCATCGGCGAGCAGATATCGGAGATGGAGGCCTACTGTGAAAACAGGGCCTCGCAATCACTGCCCGATACCAGGAGATCGGCCACGGCTGGTCCAAGATGCGCCCCGAGTTTCAGCGCATGCTGGCTGATGCTAGGGCGGGGCGTTTCGACACTATCGTCTGTTGGAAGTCTGACCGGTTGAGCCGTGGCATGTACCCGGCCGCTGCCCTGATGGAGGTGGTGGAAGCGTATCAAATGCGCCTTGAGGCCGTGATGGATTCCATCGATATGAAGACCTTCGGCCTCATGGCAGCCATCGGGAAGATCGAGCTCGACAACTTCCGCGAGCGCGCGTCGATGGGCAGGCGTGGGATGGCCAAGCAGGGTCGGATTCCCAATGCCAAAATGCCGTATGGATACCGTAGAGGAGAGCGGGGACAAACCCGAAATAGCAGAGAACGAGGCAGAAATTGTGCGGCGGATTCTCCATCAGAGTGCCTATGAGGGAATGGGAGGGAAGCGTATCGCCAAACAGCTGATGGCTGATGGCATCCCTGCACGAAAGTCGGGGACGTATTGGCATGCCCCATCCATCATTCGAATCATTGGGAACGAAGTCTATAAGAACGGCAGATGGTGGTATGGCAAACAGAGGCACATGTTGACCGAAAGTGGAAGAAGGGTACAAAAGCAACCTGAGGATACATGGATACCGATTTCATTTCCTCCCCTGGTGGATGAGGAGACCTGGGAGCGGGCCCAGGAAGCCAAGGCGCTGCGAGTCACCCGAGCGAAGCGGAACACCAAAGTGTTCCACATGCTTCAACATCTTGTCAGATGCACAGAGTGCGGAACGCTTTTCGGATGCAGAACGACTCGGCAAAGGACCATTAGACGCGGAGATAAAGTCTACGAATACAACATTGATCCTCCACAGAGGCACTACCGTTGCTACGGAAACAAAAAGGGCCCCCGAGATTGTCGCGAGCATTCGTACATAAGGGCTGAGAAGCTGGAGGAACTCGTGTGGAGTGAGGTCAAGAAGGCTGTGCAGCAGCCTAAACTCATCATCAGCGGCATTGAGCCTTAGGGGAGACCGATGATGCACAGCTCAAGGCCCGAGTGACTCAGGCGGACAGAGACCTACGGAGCGTACAGACCCAAGAGGACCGGGTAATTGGGCTTACGTCACAGGCTAGATCAGCGAGGCCCATTTCGACCGGCAGCGCAAGGTCATAACCGAGAGGGTGGAGGGATTGAGGGCGAAACTGGATGACAGCACTGAACGCCCCTTACCATCCCGGTCTAGCCTGGAGGTCAGCAGGCCCGTTAGAGACAAATCTCGCGCCATTCTGAAGGGGTAACGGGCTTCGCAACGCATCGGTGGTGCGCTCCTGGCCGACATCCACGTATGAAGCAGGCGTGCAACCGGCAGCCATGTGGTTGCCTTGAGAGACTGGGAGACGGGAACGGCAGCCAATCGAGGCTTCCATCTTGGTGCCCCTACCCTGCCACAGCGTCTCGAACACCTTCTCCACTTTCGACCGTGTCGGAGATTCAGGCAGTTCGCGTCGCTGCTTCCCAGTGGGTCAACACCCGCTGATTGTTGTTCGCCCGGTACATGCTGCGCCCTTGATCCCCTGGGCCTTCAGCCATGCCCGTCTCGTCTGGACTGGTGAGCTCTGTCCCTGGACACCTCCACTTCGCCCCTGCCAACCGGCTTGTCTCCCCCGCTTTCACACACGCTAGCTGGGCTGAGCCACTGCGGTGGCTAGGATATCCGATCGACCCCTCGTCCACTTCAGTGCGCGCCATGTAGCCGAAGCGGCACCCCCTCCTAGGAGAAACCCGACCCAATTAGCATCAGGCCGATGGGACTCCTAGACTCCATGTCCTCTGTACATGAAGGGGCGTCTGCATGCCCTTGAAACCCAATCTCACGAACAACGAGGGGCCGACCTGCGGTTCAACGCCGCTTCCATCTGCGGGTCTCAGCTTGCCCAGAGTTTGACGGTCAACCGTTCAGTCAATGCGCTCTAGCCTCTGGTTCTGCCTCATTACGCTGACGCCAGTCGCCCAACGACGTCTGGTTTACGTCCCGATGCATGCTGTATTGCCGGGATGACGCTGGAGCTACGCGAAGGTTCCTGCGGGCGGGGATAGCCCCCCAGGTCCCAACCGGCCCCCGTGCTTGTCCACTGACTCCCGAGCACACGGCATCGGAGAGCGCATCCACAAATGCGTAAATAATGCGTGTAGCTACAAATTAGATTTTCGCACTAACTTAGACAGGAGCGAGCGTAAATGTTCTAATCACGGCGACCTTCTTGGCAACGCTCAGACAACTGAGAGCTTGCATACCTATGTTAGAGGCACGCGATGATGTGCAGTGAGGTCGACGGGCGGTGCATCTGTGTGCTACTGCAGCCCGGGTACATAGAACAGTTCGTCCGCAGGCTTCTTGGGGACAGAGCACGAGTACAGAAGTCTCGGCCTGCCCTACAAAGGAAACCCAGAGGGGCAATGGAATTGGCGCATCGCGAGGATAGGCACAGGGCAAGGAGCGCGGAGATGGCGGCCTTCGGATGAGGGTGTCAGAGTCGCGTGCAATCCTGCCCCTGATGCCAAGACCGGCGGCGTGGCCCGTTGTCGATGTTGCGTCAGTGGGATCCATACCCAGGCCCCCGGAGGTGTTGCGTGAACATTGAGCGTTTAGATCGACTGCTCACCAGCAAGCAGTTAACCGACGAGACTGGCATTTCTCGCTCGACCATCTACCGTCTGTTGCAGAACGGTGCGTTTCCCAAGCCTATACACATTGGGCCGCGCGGTGTGCGCTGGCTCGAATCGGACATCAAAGCCTGGCTTGTAGAGCGCAAGACGCTATCGTTGAACGTTGCCGGTCGGGACACCGCATCCTCCTCCCCTGCCCACCTCGCGGATCCTCCATCTGATGTACTCCCGTAACGCGAGGACACCTTGGAAGGGTATCGGCCCCCTTGGTGCTGCTGGACACAGTCGGCAACTAGCCGTCAACCTTGAAGATCGGTTGTCGGAGGCGGCAGCAGCAACGTCGGGAATGTCATTCCGGTCCCACCGACGGTTGACAAAGCTCGACTTCAGAGCGACATAAGGAACTTGAGGGTTCGAACCGACGTCGAGTGGACACTTCGCCAACTGGGAGCGAATCCTCCCCCTACACTTCCCGCACTCCGAGGAGGTATGAGAAGGCTAGCCTCGGAGCCTGCGCTCTGTTAGGCGGAGCCGATGGTACGGACATAACGAAGGCAGCCGCCTTGACCGGGCTGGTGTCCGTTGACGACTAGGCTGGACCGGGTCGTCAAGGTCAGTGGGCATCCTGAGCCCACGATGGTCCACGCGACCCCCCCCGGATTGACAGCTATTGGAGCTGCCGACTGGCGTCGCCCACCACCGTCACCACGATAAGCAAAGCGAGGGCATCCCGCATCCCGTTCTTTTTCGTAAGAGATGAGGCGCTGAGGATTGATGGGGTAGCCCTTGTGCTGGCCCATCCCAGCCCGATGTTGACCTTGGCATCGGACGTTGGTGACGGCAACGACTTGGTGCGCCGGGGCATCACTTGCGCGCACGTTCTGCCGTTCACCTACAGCCAGTTCAACGTAGGCGTTGTGCAGACCGTTTCCTTGGACTTCATCGTGACACGCCGGACGGTCATCACCGGCGATCCCACAGCCTCAGTACGTCTGCCCTACGTGACGCTGTCGGGCCTTGGTCTGGCCTATCCCAAGTCGCGGACCCTGAACAAGGGAGTTTGGGTCGACGTTAGGGACCGTAGCATCCAAGCGCCCATCCTGAACGTGGGTGGTGCTGAGGTGGAGGTCAACGACAACCCACGGGGGAAGGTGGAGGTCGTTATCCGGCTCGACCCAGCCCTTGCAGTGTGCAACGCAGTAGTCGGCGACTTGGGGCGGGGATGTTGTGTCAGGGTGCAGTCAACTAGGGGCGACCCATCCGAGGGCTACCTAATTCTTGAGGGGTATCGCCCTCTTGAGTAGTAGTACTAGGAGTGGTAATGAAGTTGCCGAAAACCCGATTTTGTAGCTAAAAAGAGGGCTTTGCGGCGGAGGGAATGGGATTCGAACCCATGGGAGCAATTTCTCGCCCCAAGCGCTTAGCAGGCGCCCGCACTAGACCACTATGCGATCCCTCCCGTGAGTCCACTATACCAAAGGCAACGTTGCTACGGCAAGCGTAGGATCAGCCTATCAGTGTCAACGCTATCAGCTACCTGAGGTCGAAACTTGACAGTTTTCCTACATCCTAATATCATGCTGGCGTAAGGAGACATGACGATTGCCGTGGAGATGAATGAATTAGACAAGAGGATTATAAGTCTCTTGCAGGTTGATGGCCGGGCTTCCAACGCCAAGATTGCGCGAGAGGTGGGTGTCAGCGAGGGTACCGTCCGCCGTCGGTTGCGCCGGTTGATAAACGACAATGTCATTCATATTATCGCTGTGCCCAATCTGGAGCAGATGGGGTACTCCACCGCGGCCTTGGTTGGCGTTCAGGTGGAGCCGGGCGAGGTTTCCAATGTAGCAGACCAAGTCGCCAAACTGGAAGAGGCCCACTATGTGGCCATCACCTTGGGGGCGTTTGACGTGTTTGCTTGGGTGGGGCTGGAGTCTCCGGAGCAGTTGGGCAGCTTCCTCCGCCAGAAAGTGCACCCGATTCCAGGAGTGCGGCGCACCGAAACCTTCGTCAACGACACCATCAAGGAGCGCACTTATGGGCTGGTCCTCTAGCTCCATTTCCAAAACCACGCTTGGACTTTTTGCCTCCTAGTACCTACCCCTTCAGCCAGCGGGTGAAGCGGCTCCAGAAGTTGCTGGGTTCCTCTTCGAGCAAGCGTCCCCGCCACCTCTTCTGCACCTTGGGACCACTAGGGCGCGCGAGATACACATGAGTAGGCTACAACCACTAGGCCTACGCCACGAACCCGACAAGAGGGCCATTCATTCCGGCCCAAATGCACCGCCTATCACCAAGGCAAGCAACAAGATGGCCAGGGCCGCCAGTATTACCTTGCTGGCCGTATGCTGGGGAAGTTGCGAGAAGACCCCAAGCTTGGCGGGCGCAACACATATCGCCCGCTTGTTCGCGGCGGTGGCGCAGTGTCGCCGGCATCAGAGGGCGGCGTCTCTTCCGCCTCCTTCAGAATCTCTTCAATCTCCTGCAGATACTTCTCAGACATGGCTGGCCTCCAAGGCTGCTATTGGCCTGTGAAGTCGTTCAATGCCGCGCTGTGGTCAAGCGTGTCCACTCGCCGGCTACAGGGGTCGGCTCATGTTGATTGTAGCATAGGGGTTGCGTATCGCAAAGGAATGGACACGCTGGCAGCACTCAGGCTACGTTGACGGTCAATGGGTTTGTGCGATCATTGATCCGCGGATTGCGTCCCGGCCCACGCCGTTTTTAGCCAATTGCACGCCTGAACCATTGACCCGTTCATCGAACCCACCTGAGCACGGGATGGTTGACGATGACTCAGCAGACCGTCCACAGCATCAAAGTAAGGTCCTACAGCAGCGCACTCAAGGACGGCCATCTGACCCACACGCCGCAACCACCATTGGATTGCTGACGACGCCGACTATAATGGTGGCCCCGGCGACGAGCTGGGTGCCGGAGAACTCTTCTTCTCCGGCCTGACTGCCTGTGCTTTTGTAACATTGTCATGCTGGAGCGGGTTGCGCGTCAAGAGGAGATACCCTTGGTCCGTACCGATGTCACGGTAGAGGGTATGCGCGACACAAGCATCGCGACCAGCGGACCGGCCGTGTACCAAGAGGTACGCCTCACGTTCGAACTCGCCGGCCCTGACCAGGCCCAAGGCCAAGAGTTGGTGGACTACTACAAGGGGCATTGACCCTTGTACGGATCGGTCGCCGTGGCGACCGCCAATACCAGCATCGACTTCTCGGGGGGGGGAATGTAGGGGATTGGCGGCCTAGGGGGAGGTGCGGCGAGAGTAATTGTTCGGCCGGGGGAGAGTAGTTCTTCCGCTTGCGTGTCTCTCCGCGTAAGACCCCGTCCAGCCTTGCCCCTTCTCGAGAGAGGGTTTTCCACGACTGTTAGGTACGCTTATCGGAAGCCCCTCTCCTGAGTAGGGGGGACGGTGGTGATGGGATGGGCTATAGGTGGGTGGCGCGACTAACTCACGCTATCTCAGCCGGAGTTTGACGCCGCAGGGTGTAAACCGAGGTACGGCGGTGAGGACGCGGTGCGACAGTCGGAACCGCCAAAGGCTAGGTTAGCAGGCACCTCTTGAGTCACGATAACACCCAAGCGATTGCCAGCCAGCGGAATCGACTACCAAGTGCCTCCGGGCGGTACCGAAGACGCTTGCACCGCGTAGTGTCCACCTTCATGCCATCGGGCACCTCTCACTATC